AATCAAACCCGGGTCTCTCGCTTGCGAGGCGAGTGCTTTAACCACTGAGCTACAGGACTCTATAAAATGTGTTTGTGCACTGGCGGCACATTGTTACTCCTGCAGTATAGAAAAACCTTTCATCTGTTATCGTTAATCTTTCAACCTGGGCTGCACTTCCTGCTGAGTGTCAAAGTATTATAATCCGCCTGTCTCCCCCACTAATAAATCCTTGCTTTTGATATAGTTATTTTGGGATCTTTAACGTCCACCTGAACAGTTTAATGTCTCATCTAAAGGACGGCATCTCCCGACAATGCAATACCCCCGCAGTACTGTATTTAAGGCTCAGTCTAGTTTATGATCTCAACATCCCAACGTGGGCTTGAATCTACAAGCTTCTAACTCTGAGGCAACAGTGCTGCCAGCTGAGTCAGGCTGACAGCATAGCTGTTCTCTGGTGATTCACAAAAAGTATATTTTTATAGAAAATGTCTATTTTTTGGCTTAAGTTCTGCATTTTACACAATATTTAGTCTGATGTGACTGGTGTCTGTTCCAAGCTGCATGCTACACCTTGTGGAAATCCCGATCACAGACATTTGCTCTTGACCATCTGAAATAACAGCCAGAGGACACGGGTATTAGCGAATGGCTGATGATGGAATTTGATCAAGAAAGATAGGCCAATGCTTTGGATGTGAACCTTGTGTAGGAATGGGGCACCAGTGGGTGTGGCTGTGCTGGGTGAGAGAATGCACGAGGGAGATGAGACTCATTGTCACTGAGAGTTGGGAGCAAAGCACGACAGGATCTGTAGTGAGGCATTTCTCTGGGCAAATCTGAGAAAGAAAGACATGGTGTGCACTGTTAATTGCTGTGAGATAGGATACAGTAAGTGCATTAATCATTCACAGTCATTGGCTAGATGAACAGATAGATCCTCTTTGGGTGGGTGGGTGGTTGTGGGGGTTGCAGAGGGATCGCAGTGGAGCTGTTTGACAATGGAATGTTTGTCAGCGGAATGTCAGAATCGAGCCATCGCTCTATGATGGTCTCTAATCCGGTTCCTGACCCAGTCAGGTCCACAGTATTCCAGGGCACAGCCCAGCCTTGCTCATCAGGAGATTGGTGACAGGGCTAGTGGTTAGAGCACGCGCTTTGCAAGCGAGAGACCTGAGTTCAATTCCAGGAAGGGCGAAACCTCGGGCAAGTTTCCTTACTCCACACAGAGCCTAATAATAATCCCTCGAAAACCAAAAACAATAATAGGTCATTTTCAATCTACGACTGTTTGTGGGACACTGCTGTGCGCAATTGGCTGCCGCGTTCGCCCACAAATATACAGTCAATTCACTTTACAGTATATTCTGTGAAGCGCTTTGGGACGTCCTCCCGACGTGAAAAGCGCTATATCAAATGCAAGGATTATTATTATTATTATTATAGTGCTTTCATTGGCACATTTTAGCTAGTGGGTGACTAATACACAGTGACATTGCAGTTCAATGTAAGCTATGTGGTTTAGCTGGTTAAACTCCAGAGGTTATGCCCAATGCTGGGATCCCCAAGCCTTGGCCTCACCAACCTGTGCCCAATATCTCTGGAATCAGGTAAGCAGGGTCCACATCCCATTCCAGACAAAAGGAAATTTCCACATGTATTACAAATATGGAACTGTCAGTCTGGTTTGGATACTCTTAAGCACAATGATCATTTTCCATGACCCCAAAAAATGGAACAGATAAACAGTAAACACTTACCATAAACACTTACCAGCACAGAAGGAGGCCATTCGGCCCATCGTGTCTTATATTTCAATGTAAGGGAACAAAACACTTTGCTGATGAAAAGTGAAATCAGTTTTGGCATCACACACTCCCAGGTCAGCCACAGCTCAGTAAAACATTCTTTACGTTGTGCAGTCTGTGATAATAATAATAATCCTTGCATTTGGTATGGCACTTTTCACCTCTTCTAGACGTCTCAAAGCGCTTCACAGAATATGCTGTAAAGTGAATTGACTATATTTGTGGGCGAAACACGGCAGCCAATTGCGCACAGCAGCGTCCCACAAACGGAGGGATTATTATTAGGCTCTGTGTGGAGTAAGGAAACTTGCCCAAGGTTTCGCCCTGCTTGGAATTGAACCCAGGTGTCTCGCTTGCAAGGCGAGTGCTCTAACCACTGAGCTACAGGACGCCACTCCATGGATGGTCACGTCACCACCATCCTGACCCATGCACATGATTTTCGTTCCATCTGCTAAGTGCTCACCTTGCTTCTTCCTGATTCATTTTATTTTTCTTCTGTTGCAGCCTTTTGACTTGAAGGAGATCGATATTCAGGTCAGCTTCCCAGATGAGTATCCTCTGGAGGTAAGACTAATATACATATCAGCTTTGTTAGTTTTCTAGCAGTAATTTATGTCTAAGACACTATGTGTGTGTGTGTGTTGCTGAGCCTGCATTCGGACACTCTTTCCTGATTTCCTGATCGCTTGCTTCGAGAACTGTAGAAATTTACAGCTCAGAAGAAGGTCTTTTGGACCATCATGTCTTATTGTGTCTGTGCCGGCTCCTTTAAGAGCAATCCTTTCAGTCCCATACAAACATAAATACTATAAATATACAAATTCAGTAGCTCAGTGGTTAGAGCACTTGCCTTCCAAGCAAGAGGACCTGTGTTTGATTCCCGGGCAGGGCGGAATGTTAGGCAAGTTTCCAAAATACACAATTACATTTGTATAGCGCCTTTCACGTCAAGATGAGGTCCCAAGGCGCTGGACAGTTAGGGATTTGGAGTCGAGCTGGGGGGTTGGGATTAGGGAGGATGGAGAGTAGGAGGATAACCGAAGACGCAGTCAAAGAGGAGGGTCTTGACCTGTGCCTTAAAGGAGACAAGGGATGGAGCGAGGCAAAGGGACTAAGAGATGGCGTTCCAAAGGGTGGGGCAGAGAGGCTGAAGGCCCCACCACCGATGGTGGGCCAGGTGGGGGGCATGGAGCAGGCCAGAGCCTACTGAGTGGAGGGAGCGGACTTGACCTAGATTTAATTCAAAATTGCCCTGCTCAGCCTCTTACTAATGGTCTATGGCCTGAGCTTAGTAACCCAATGACTTGAGCTGAAATAAACGTGCGAGCACATATCTAGGTGCTAATGAAATTAATCCAAATATTATTATCGTTCACATTGATGAAAACAAAACTTCACTCAAATGTAATTTGGTTTCCACCCACGTTTCAAAAATGTTATGCGCTCATCTGTGGTGAGCTCAATTAACCCCTTCCTTTTTCTCTCTGTAAATTGAAGGTGTTCACTGTGCAAATCCCAGAGGACCAAGATCTTCCGGCTTCTATGGGAAGGTGAGTAAAGAGCATTAGAAAACAAACTGACTTCAAAAGTCCACACTGACTCCATTCCATGTTTACTTTGTGCAGGATGAACATCAAGTAGATCAATGAGGTCATTTTACTTTAATTTTGAAAACTTCAAATGAGAACAATGTTACGCTATATTCTTGGTTCTCAGGTCAGGGCTCTGGCAGTATTGCGCTGTGAAAACCTAAAGTAGATTTGCAGGTTGCGCCTGCTGATTGCTCTCTGGCTTCTTTCCTCTGCTGGACCCGGGTGAGGTTCTCAGACATTACTTGGTGTCCCCCAATGGCATGGCCACACAAATCCTGTGTTTCCAAAAGCACTGTTAGCACATTTTTAAAATTACAAACAGAAGGAACAGGTTAATACTGCTTCTGACTGGGAGTAGGGAATCCTCCCACTCAGCTCCTGTTAACCCTGCAGGCCAAAGCCCTAATGGGTTGGGTGTTCCTAGCTGGACAAGCAGCAGGAAAGTTTGCCAGATAGTGATGCTAATGGTAAGCTATGTGGTTTTAGCCGGTTAGACTCCAGCAGTTACCCCAACGTACACTCTGGGGTCCCCCAAGTCTTGGCTCTGGCCAACCTGCGCCTAATACTCTCCTGAATTAGATTAGCAGGAAACGTCTCTCCAGGGAGAGAGAGAGCACATTCCAATCCAACAATCTATCTCTGGAATTTCAGTGTATAGATAGGAGGCATTCTCAGCTTGGTTTAGATACTCTTTAGCACAGTGAAAGATTTCCACATGTGTCAGACCCCCCCAAAATTGCTTCTGCTGTAGTGAAATAAATAAATCTGAGTTCTTGTCCAGTGCCATTCGTGCTTTTACTTCCTGGGGTGATAACGTAACCACTGAGGCTCATTGATGAGCAACACCAATTATTATCAGGTCCATCTCCTCAGAAACTGTTCAGCCCAGGGAGATCCGATTATCCCGTGAGTTTAGAAGGTTGAGGGGTGATCTGATTGAAGTTTTGAAAATAATAAAGGAATTCGATGGGGAAACTATTTCCAGGCTATTACAAGAGGCATCATCATAAAATTGGAGCCAGGCTATTTAGGAGTGAAATCAGGGGCACTTTTTCACCCAAAGGGTCGTGGAAATCTGGAACTCTACCCCAAAAGGCAGTGGATTATGGCTGGATCTGTTTACATTTTCAAGACTGAGGAGGGTAGATATTTGTTGGGTCAAGGTATCAAGGGATACAGGGCAAGGGCAGGTAATTGCACTTGAGGTGCAGATCAACCATGATCTTATAGAATGGGGGAACAGGCTCGAGGGGCTGAATGGCCTCCTCCTGTTTTTATGCGTTTGCACTTATTCCCCCGATGATGATGATTATTTCCGAGTCTGTGCTTTAAACTCACTGAGAACTGTTCTTTACTTCAGCCACATGTGCAGTTGCTCGGAGGAGTGGCTCAAGGCCAAGCACGCCACCAACAAACTGATGGGCAAACTGGAGCTGCTTTTCCGTCCCTATCTGCGCTGGCTGGATCGCAACATGGAGAAGCTTTTCACCGAGGGGGCGAGACAGGTGAGCATCAACGACAGCAACAAATTACATTTACACCGGGCTTTGCACGTCGGGAGGACATCCCAAGGCACTGGACAGTCAAGGGTTTGGACCCGAGCTCGGGGTTGGGAGTAGGAGGGATTGGAGGGCAGGGATGGTTGGGATAGGAGGATAGCCAAAGGCGCGGTCGGAGAGGAGGGTCATGAGACGGGCCTTGAAGGAGAAAAGAGAGAGGCGAGGCAAAGGGACTGGAATGACATTCCAAAGGATGGGGGCAGAATATTCTAACTGAGGTCTAACTAACGATTTCTGTAAGTTTAGCATTACCTCTTTGCTTTTATATTCTTTACCCAAAGATTCATTTAGCTTTTTTAACAGTTTGTCCACCTGCCTTCCCATCTTTAAGGATTTATGTACATTAACCCTCAAGTCCCTCTGCTCTTTCTTTCCTTTTAATATTTTACCCCCAATATATACTTGTTCTTCTGATTCTTCCTCCCAAAATCTACAACCTCACATTTGTCCATTAATTTCACATGTGATTGATTTTGTGGAGTCCTGTAGTTCAGTGGTTTGAGCACTCGCTTTGCAAGCGAGAGACCTGAGTTCAATTCCAGGCAGAGGGCGAAACCTTGGGCAAGTTTCCTTACTCCACACAGAGCCTAATAATAATCCCTCCAAAACAAAACAATAATAAATTGGTCATTTTCAATCTACGACTGTTTGTGGGACATTGCTGTGTGCAATTGGCTGCCGCGTTCGCCCACAAATATACAGTCAATTCACTTTACAGTGTGTTCTGTGAAGCGCTTTGGGACGTCCGCCCGACGTGAAAAGCACTATATCAAATGCAAGGATTATTATATATTTTTATTTAAAAACTTGTCAGCAGTAATAATATTTCCCACTTAAAAGACTTTAGAAATGCACCAGTCCTTATACTACAACTATTTTCTTCAAATGTTGTGATTTGTAAAGGGGGCAGTTTCAAAATGAAACACACAGTCACTACACTTTACAGTATATTAAGTGCTTTGAGACGTCTCAAAGATGTGATCAAGTGCAAGGATTATTATTATTAGGTTGTAGGTTTAACGGTAGATTAAAGACATTACCACAAAAACTGGAGATTTGGAGATTGAGCAGCAAAGTGGGATCCATTGGATCAAATCTCTGCACAAAATCATTGCTGCTTGTGGAGGAGTTCTCAGTACAGCTACACTGTCAGCGTCCGACTGTTGGAATAGCTTCCGCTCCTCCAGATCAGTTACACACCCACACTCACCAACTTATTGCGAAATGTCTTATCACCATCATGTTCTCCCAGAGTGGAAGCAAATTCAACAATAACAACAACTTGCATTTACACAGCGCCCTTCATGTGCGGTAGCGTTCCAGAGCACTTGACAGTAGCAGAGTCTGTCCCCGAGCCAGGGGGACTGGGAGGAGGGAGATGTCCGTAAGCATAATCAAAAGGGAAGGTCGTTAGACGGGATTTGAAAGTGGTGAGGGAGGGGGCAAGCCGGGGGGATCGAAGGAGAGAGTTTCAGGGCGTAGGGGCTGAAGGCATGGCCACAGATGCAATATTTGGGTCCTAGTGAGAGTTGTGTTGCTCCACAAGGTTGCAGAGTAAGCAAAACTACCTGATAGAGGAGTTAAATGGGATAAAGTAAACCAAACGTCTAGATACACCAGGACAGCGATAGCGGGTCATGAAATAGCGTGATTCTGTAACAGTAATAATCCTTCCTTTTGATATAGTGCCTTATCATGTTATTAAAGTGCTTCACAGGATACACTGTAAAGTGAGTGGGCGAAACGCGGCAGCCAGTTTTCACACAGCAGTGCCCCACAAACACCAATGGAGAGAGCAACCAATTTTATGTGGGGGATTGTTGACCAGGACACTGGGAAATAGATAGAAACTCCCTTCTCTTTTCGAATAGCGCCGCGGGATCTTTACCGTCCACCTGAACAGGCAGGCAGGACCTCGGTTTAACGTCTCAACCAAAGGACAGCGCTGCCCCCAGCACTACAATGGGACGAAGGTAGAGCAGGTACTTTGATAGGATCCAGTTAAATGGGGGCACGCGTTTAGATAGCAATGTTCAAACCCAATCAATGCTTTCTCTAACCATACACGGCATAACTGTTCCTTTGCTGTCGGAGGAGTGGGGGGGGGGAATCCAGAACAAGGGGGCCATCATCTCAAAATTAGAGCTAGGGCATTTAGGAGTGAAATCAGGAGGCAGTTTTTCACCCAAAGAGCAGTGGAAATCTGAAACTTTCTCCTCTTGTGGATGGATGTTGGATCCATTCACATTTTCAAGACTGAGGTGGATAGATATTTGTTAGCGCCTTGGGGCATCCTCACCACATGAAAGGCATTATACAAAGGTAATTTGTTTTTGTTGTTAGGTAAGGGTATCTAAGGATATGGATCAAAGGCAGATAAATGCAGCTGAGTTGCAGATCAGCCATGATCTTATTGGCGGAACGGGATCAAGGGGCTGAATGGCCTCCTCCTGTTCCTATGTTCCAAGACGGTTTTTACGCAAGATATAATTCCAGTCCTGCTGCTCTTTCCCACTTGAGTTCCAGATCGTGTAGAGAACTCTTCGGAATGTCAACCAGCGTCCCTTTTCCCTTGTGTTTTCCAGTTGAAAAGAGATCTGGATACAGAGCGAGCAGGGATCCAGTTTGTGCCGTACCAGCAGCTTCAGATCGCTGTCTGTGGCACTCTGCCGCCAGGCTGCCCGCCAGCACAAACCATAAAGCTCCCACCAGGCTTCCCGGCGGCCGACACTGTTAGGGGATTGTCACAAAACGTGCAGCGAGCAAAGATCTCGGAGTCTGACGGAGCGGATGCAAGTGGCTCCGGGAGTGAAATGGGTTACAGTGAGGAGGAGGAGGAGGAGGAACTCTCAAGTACTAAACCCGTCTCTGTTGGCAAACATCACCTGCAGTCAGCCGGAGACGCGAGTGGACAGCAGGGCAAAGATTCCACACACAATGTCCCTCAGAAGGGCACCGAAGTCAGGCTGGTTGGCTTTGAGCTGGGAGAGGGCACAGCTACACTGGCTCCTCAGCAGATCACTGTATCGCTGAAGTGCAGCAGGTATGAGGAGTGAAATCTGCTGGGATCAGTGAGTGTTCTACAGACTTTGAAAAGCAATCACATGTCCTAAATGAGATGTTTTGGTGCAAAGCTTCAGCATGCATGAAACAGGTTTATTGATGTGTATGGGGTGGGGGAAGAAAGACTGGATGGTGCAGTGGGTTAGAGCTGTCTCTTCACCTTAGCGACCAGGTTTGAGCGCAGCCCAGACTGATGGGATGATTCTCCTTTGTAGGATAAGATCAGATTAGGCTCCTGGGTGCAGGAGGGAGGTTCATCTAAGACCGTGGGGGGCCAACCATTTTCGTAGGCCAACAAAATAAATTTTCTGGATTGAATATTTCTTGATTTATGCCACGATTGATTTGAAGCACAAGTTGACCACCACTGGTCTCAGCTTTGATGGTGAGGCCCATTGAGACGGGCTTTGATCAGCATTTGACACTGATGTACCTAAACTGAAAGTGCTGGATGTTGTAGCCATCCTTGGCCCAAGTCGCTGGCTCAGACATAATTGTAGAGGGGATTGTGCTGTAGACTTGTCCTGGATCCCAGTTGTTCCAAATTTTATTTCACTTCAAGGAGAAGTCTTTAATTTCCACCAGTCTGGGCGAGATTTGAACTTATGTGTCTGGAGGTGAAGGGACAGCATTCTAACCCATCACAATATCAATCCGTCTTCATTGGTTAACATGTCGAGGGCTGGAGTGATTGATTGCTAAATATGTCACCCAGGTTAGGATAAAGATAGGGGAGTACTGATGCAGGCTGTGAAGTGGCTGATGCTACTGCTTTCAGAGTGTGCTGTCATTCAATACAGAGCATTTGACCTGATCAGACATGGACTCTCCTACAGCTGAGAGCCAGAGGGATGGTTCCACATGGCGAGGCCTTGCCTGAGTGAGGGCTTGGTTAGTCTTGTGTAAGCTACGCCTTGTAAACGTCCGTGACTCTATTTCATTGATCTTAGTTAAACTGCCATAAGATGAAACAAATGGGAACATCCAAATGCAAGACTCAGCTTGCATTTGATTGTCATGTGTTAGGATGTCAGGACATAACCTCCTGTGGCAGCACACTTTGTGAAGTTATATTAATTTGGGATCAGCAGATCAGGTGAACCCAAATCAGTCCCCTTTAAAGCCAGTCAGTCTGAACACAGTTCTCAAAGAAAAGGCGTTTGTGTGAACATGTTAAAATAGACTTGTTAGTCTTTAACCTCCAGCTTCTAGATTGATTTATAAATGAGTGCATCTTTCCCTTTATTTGGATCATTTTCTAGTTGAGTTTTATGCAGGAGAAATATCCACGTCTCTTTGACAACTGCATCTACGTATTGGTATCGGTGACTATTTTTCACTAAGTGTGTTTGTATAAGCTATGCATTGGCTCCACTTGAACCAGTTCAGTTGGACTTTGGAGTTGAACTGTCTGTGATGGACTGAAATAAATGTGTGTGTGTGTATTGTGTTCCAGATGGTTAAGCTACTTTGTATGGCAATACTAGATGAGAGATGTATAGAATTGCTGAGAGGACTGGGGTATGAGAGAGTAATTTCCAGAGTGACATCAGGAAGATACAACTCTAGGGTGATATAGGGATCCGGGGAGCGAGATTCTTCCTGACCTCACTGGTTTAATTATGATCATATAGCCCATCTTCTCAGTTCTATTGATAGCATGTCTGTGGTCTGGTAATTAAAGAAAAGTGGTACAACTGAAAAGAACCCATCTCCATCTGTGATTTATTCCTCTCAGGAATTAGATTAGGAACTTTGTTGTCTTTGTGATTCAGTTCCTGACCGACTAATACAGGTGTTTTGCTTCAGAAATGAGAAGGTTTTCGCTTCCAGCGCTAAGGACAGACAGCAGGTTGCATGTGGTTGGGATCGGCACTGACCCTGTGGTACTCATTCTCTTCTCAAAGGTGCAAACTTACTGCCGACCTGACCATGTCCAAAAGCCACCCCTATGTGGTAAACTGTGAGAAATGTAATGCGGACATCAGGGTGACCTTCCAGGCCAGCCTGCTCCACCAGAACACAGACGTGCTCGGATACCTTAACCTGCAGGCCTGTTCACCCGTGGATTTGGTTTTGCAGGACAGTGAGTTTGTTGTCGGCTGCTTGAACTGCACCACAGAGGGAGTCCTGCAGGTCAGTGGGGAAACGCAGACCATCACATTCTCTGACATTCGGGTTTCTTAGCCATCACGTACATAGAGTAACACACGCTCAAAACAATCACCATGTGCAGAACAGGAGAAATGTAAGGCAGTTGGAGGCCATTCAGCTTATTGTTTTATGTCAGTGTTAGTTTCTCCAAGAAACTATTCACCTCAATCACTAGATGTTGGTCACAACTAATGGACCACGAGAATGGAACTGGTCAAGATTTGAGGGACTGGGTTTGTGGTTGAACATCTAGCCAGGGGAGGCCTGCTGAAGTGGCTCTGACCAATGGTTTGTTATTAGACTATTCTTTAGCTTGAGAATTTTTGTTAGGTCAGGATATCAAGGGATTTGGAGTTGAGGTACAGATCAGCCACCCTAATCCCAATTCTCTGCTCTTTCCCCATCTCCTGTACCTCAACTCCAATTACCCGTCTTTGCCCAAATCCCTCGATACCCTGACCTCACAAAAATTCTCAAGATAAAGAATGGTTATAACAAACCACTGGTCACAGACCGATCAGTGGGAATTAACGAGGTTACAGCACACCATCACCACCAACAAATAATATTTACACAGCGTTTTTCACATGAGAGGATGTCCCAAGGCGCTGGACAGTCAGGGATTTTGACCCGAGTTGGGGGTTGGGATCAGGAGTGGGGGGAGGGTAGGGAGGATATTAATTAGAGCCACTTAAGCAGGCCTCCCCTCACCAGATGTTCAACTACAAACCCAGTCCATCATTTCTTGACCAGCTCCATTCTCATGGTCCAATAGATGTTACCAACATTTAGTGACCCGCCAAGATTAAGAAGCTTGCACTGAGCAAACTAGGCTAGCTTTGCCTAGACGTGAATCGTCGTTCCTGTTGTTTATTTTTAACAGCTGGCAGATCAGCACCGTTCTTCTGTCGGTACCAAATCAGCACCTGTGACTACTTGATGCGCTTTGTAGAGCCCAGCATTATTGATTTTCCAAATAAAATGAGGTGAAAAGTGATTAACAGAAAATGTTGGTAATTCTCATGAGTGACATGAAGAGCAACTGAAATGAATCAATACACGTGTGAGAGAGAGGGATCATCGCAGGTCTGGCTAAAGCCCATTGGACTTGTATTAAAAGACGAGCCGAGCTCAGTCTAATGCCCTCTACCCCCACTCTCCTCGTGTTACAGATCTCATAAACAATGACATTTTGGAATGTGAATTGAAAAGTAATTTTTGCCGCTGTTTTATCAAACTGACAAGATCAAAGTAGTTGTTCCTATATACAGAGTGACCAAAAAGTTGTGATAACATTACAAAGTCTCATAAGTCTTAAAGAAACAATGATAATATCAGTAATTATTAAAATAAATGGTATCACGACTTTTTGGTCACCCTATAGAAGGATATGTAAGTGGTAATAATGCACTGCTTGGCCATCCTGGCTGCACTGTTCACCTGTTTGTGTCTGGTCACCAGAGCCTCTCCTATGGCCAGCGTAAGGAGATCCATTGCTTACACTGTCACAGCAAGCTCAGCATTCTTATAGAGGCTGCCCACTTCCACCTCATCCATGTCCAGCCACAGGAGGAAACCGGTGAGACACTGAGTATCTCAATTTATTTTCGTTAGTTAAACGAGGAGTAAAATGAAGAGGCAAAGAGACATGGATCTGGGTGGGGTTTTTAAATTGTGAAGGAATTTGGAGGGGTGGACTCCTCCCGGAGAAGATTCTTTATACCGCAGTATCCTTCAGTCACCCTCCTACCCCAACTCTCCCTGCCCTCCTGATCCCATTCGCCAGCTCAGGTGCAAATCCCTGGCTGTCCAGCGCCTTGGGATGTCCTTGACGTGAAAGGCCCTATACAAATGTAATTTGTTGTTATTGCATCAGCCTTTATAAGGCAAGGAGACCTCAAAAAATCAGGCTCTTCTGATTGACTCCTGCCAGCGCCTCCGCACCTCAGGCACTCACAGCATCACCATCCAAGGATGTACACTCCACCTCACCAAGCCAGTCAGGAACCCAGGCATCTTGTTTGACCTTCAGCTGTCCTTTCTCTCTCACATCCGTGCCATTACCTACTCTGCTTTCTCCCACCTCCGCAACATTGCCTGACTGCCACTGCCTCACCCCTCAGGCCCCGAAACCCACATACATGCCATCATTACAACTAGGCTCAACTACTCCAATTCCCTGCTTGTCGGCCTTCCCAACGCTTCTCTCTACAAACTGCATATCATTCAGAACTCTGCATCTCATATCCTCTCCCACACCAGGCTCCGTAATTCCATCACCCCCACCCTCACCCGACTCCATTGGCTCCCCATCCCTCAGAGGATCGAGTTCAAAATTCTCGTTTTCACTTTCCAGGGCTACCTCCTACCTCTCTGACCTGCCTTATAAACCCCTGCTCAGTAGGCTCTGACCTGCTTCGTGGTTCCCCCGCCCGGCCCACCCCACCATTAGCGTTCAGGCCTTCAGCCTCTCTGCCCCCACCCTCTGGAATTCCACACATTCCCTTCGCTTCGCTCCCTCCCTTGCTTCCTTTAAGGCATGCCTCAAGACCCTCCTCCTTGACCGTGCCTTCGGCAACCCTCCTGCCCTCTGCCGTCCAACGCTCCTGATTCCAACCACGCCCCTCCCCCCGCGCTTGGGTCCTAATCCACGACCGTTCAGCGCCTTGAGTCGTCCTCCTTGACATGAAGGGTGCTTTTCAGATGTAATTTTGTATTGTATTGTATTGTGCCTGTGCCGGCTGCCCAATCAGTCCCACTCCCCCACTCTTTCCCCATACCCTTGCACGATTTTCCTCTTCAAGTTCCTATCCAATTCCTTCTTGAAAGTTATTTGATCTGTTTCCACCCTTTCAGGCCAATATTTTTTTTTCTTGTAATTACTGAAGGAATAAAGAATTCAGCTCATATTCGACAGAAGAAGTTGCGGGACCCTACTGTGCAGGCTGGGAAACCCCTTCCTGACTATGGTACGTGCAGCCATTTCAGGAAGAGCTGCCGATGGCTGAGGTAAGATCTGGCTAATCTGCCGCCAATAATCCAACCCGGTCTCTGCCTCTTCATTAATCAGAACATAAGAATTTGCTGGTCAATGAAGACCAAGGTCCATCTCGTTCCCCTCCACCATCCTGGCAGTCACTGACATGTCGTGTCCCAAACTATACACTGTTTCCCCAGATATTATTTTCTAGCAGAAATCGATCTCATTTGTTTTTGAAACAAACCACTTTCTGCTTCCACCGTCTGTCTCCCTCGGGAGCCTGGTCCATAAGTTTACTACTCGCTCACTCAAGTAGTGTTTCCACACATTTGTTCTGAATTTACCCCCACCCCCCCACCACTTTGATCAATCACAGGCTGTGTGCTCTGGTTCTGCTGTTCAGTACAAGTTCCCATTGGCTTTCAATCCATCTCACTTGTTGAAATCCGATCCCACTGCCAGCAAATGGCACGTGTCTCAGCTGGTAAAATCCACATTTACAGAGAGCCATCTCCCTGTAAATGTTAGAACATGTCAACTGTGCCTTGCCGATCACTAGGTACTGTCATTGCAAATAAAAATTGGCTTTCACATTGGGAGCTTGGTTCTCCTGAGTTAGCTTAACAGAAACATAGAAACAGGAGTAGGCCATTCAGCCCCTCGACCTATTCCGCTATTCTATAAGATCACAGCTGATCTGTACCTCAACTCCAATTGCCCACCCTTGCCCCGTATCCCTTGATACCCTGACCTAACAAATATCTATCCTCCTCAGTCTGGACAATGTGAATGGATCTAGCCATAATCCACAGCCTTTTGGGGGAGAGAGTTCCAGATTTCCACTACCGTTTGGGTGAAAAACTCCCCCTAATTTCTCTCTTAAATGGCCCGGCTCTAATTTTAAGATGATGCCCCCCTTGTTCTGGATTCACCAACCAGAGGAAATAGTTTCTCTGTATCTAACCTGTCGAATCCCTTTTCATGGCTGTTTATTGGACATTGCTGTGCGCAATTGGGCTGCCATGTTCACCTACAAATACAGCTCACAAAATGGCAAATCATTAATAATAATAAGCTTTGCATTTGGTGTAGTGCCCGTCACGTCGAGCAGATGTCCCAAAGCGCTTCACAGGATGGACCGTAAAGTGCATTGTTTTGTGTGTTTATAGGCAAACGTGGCAGCCCAATTGTGCACAGCAACGTCCCATAAATAGCCACAAAACGAATGACCAATTTTGTTTGTGGAATTGTTGGCCAGGACACTGGGAGAAACTGCCTTCTCTAGGGGAGGGGTTGGGGATGGGGTCGTGTGTTGTGCATTTCTTCTCATGTAAAATGATTCAAGTCTATTAATATGTCAAAATGGGCAATAACACACTCACATAAATGGTTGAATGAAGAGAGACCAGGCATTAGACAATAGGCTGCAGAGCCCAAGGTGGAAAGCAGAATTCCGTGTTGACAGTATCCATGATGGAGTCAAAGGGAGGTGATCCCAACAGGCCAGTGAAGTGACTCCAGCAGCTGAGATACCAGACAAAGAGACCAAATCCAGCTGTGACCACGGGAGCTATGACTAAAGAGGCCCTGGTACAGGGTGTCTCTCAGCCCATCCCAGAGCCACCGACGGCTCCTGACACAACAGCATAAACATGGGCGACTGGGGAGAGCACAAAGCGAGTCAGTGGAGGAGCCGGGTTTTGGACCCTAGGGGGGCGATACCTCCCTGTCGCTCTCCACGCTGCCTCTCACGAGGTTACAGGAGACACCAGGCAGCAGAGAGAGTGACAGGAGGAGGTGGAGGCATCATACTTATACCTAAAGGCAGGGTTCCCCCACCCACCTTCCTTTTCCTCCCTCAGCCACCAATGAGAGGATGCATTACTCACTCACTCATTCACTTAAGTATTAAATATCAGGTTCCACAATAAATAGACTTTTTATTTTTAGAGACAAAATTGTTGCAATTCCCTGAAATTGGAGCTGGACAGTTTTGAGAACAATTTCCTGTCGGGACTCATCAGCAGTGGGGGTCCTGGCAGCTGCGTGGTGTGTTTATGGTGTGTGTGCATGGTGGTGTGTCTGGTGTGTGGTTGTGTGTGTGTTGTGTGTATATGTGTGTGTAACGGTTACCGTGTCTGCACACGGCACATTCCTCTTTTGACCGGTTTCAGGTTCTCCTGCTGTGGCCGTGCTTACCCGTGTGACTTCTGCCACAATGACGATCAGGACCACGAGATGGAGCTGGCCACACGCATGATCTGTGGCTACTGCGCCAAGGAGCAGGTAACTGCTGGGTCCACATCTGCCGTCTACCCACCCCACTGCCCATCCCCTATCCACCCCACTGCCCACTCCCCTTACTCACCCCACTGCCCATCCCCTACTCACCCCACAGCCCACCCCACTGCCCATCCTCTACTCACCCCACTGCCCACCCCCCTACTGACCCCACTGCCAACCCCCCTACTCACCCAACTGCCAACCCTCCTACTCACCCCACTGCCCACCCCCTACTCACCCCACTGCCCACCCACCCCTAACACTCTGAAATCAAATGGACCATTTCAACAATAATAATACTCATCCTTGCATTTGATATACAGGGTGACCAAAATATAGTTAAGCCACCCTATTATCTAAAGAAAAGCAAAAATATAATTTCTTTAAGACTTATTAGACATTAAAAAGGTATCACAAGTTTTTGGTCACCCTGTAGTAGTGTCCTATCACGTCAAAGCTCTTCAGAGAATATACTGTGAATTTTGAGAGCAAAATGTGGTAGCCAATTGCGCACAGCAGTGTCCCACAAACAGCCGTGGATTGAAGTGACCAGATTTTTTTTGAGGGATTTTTATCCCCAGAAAAGCGATCCACCAATCGACTAACAACTGGTTTCCTAATTACCGCAGAGCTGTGTGGTGTAAGGAAACTTGCCAGTTTCGCCCCAGCCAGGAATTGAAGCTGGGTACTTTCGCATGCGAGGTGAGCGCGCAAAACCACAATGTTACAGGAATCCACGCCCCAACAACTTTAAATTGTTGTCTCTGTTCACAGCCCTACAACAACGAGAAGCCTTGCATTGCATGTGGCAATATGACATTGAAGGGAACACACAGCAGCCACTGGGAGGGAGGGCAGGGCTGCCGCAACAAGATCAAAATGAGCCGGTGAGTTTTTTATTTGGAGTCGAGATACAGATCAGCCACGATCTAATAATAATAATCCTTGCATTTGATATAGCGCTTTTGACGTCGGGAGGACGTCCCAAAGCGCATCACAGAACACACTGTAAAGTGAATTGACTGTATATTTGTGGGTGAACGCGGCAGCCAATTGCGCACAGCAATGGCCCACAAACAGTCGTAGATTGAAAATGACGAATTTATTATTGTTTTGGGTTTTGGAGGGATTATTATTAGGCTCTGTGTGGAGTAAGGAAACTTGCCCAAGGTTTCGCCCTCTGCCTGGAATTGAACTCAGGTCTCTCACTTGTAAAGCGAGTGCTCTAACCACTGAGCTACAGGACTCCACAGAATGAATAGAATAGAATGAACCAACGGGCTTGAGGGGCTAAATGGCCTACTCCTGTTCCTATGTGAATACCTAGTTAGCACTCACAGCCCCTCCTCTTAAACACAGCCCCTCCTCTTAAACCCAGCCCCTCCTCTTAAACCCACCCCCACCATAGGCAATATGAGCTCCACCCCCTCCCGACCCCCTCTACCCGGTTTGTGAAGAGAAACTGGCTCAAGAAGACAAGGAGGCGAAAGAAAATAAACCTCAACAGGCAGGAGAACGTCTCAAAGCCCTTCACATAATGTAGTGTAAAGTAGCGCCCTGAGACGTTATCCTATGCAGTTATTGTGGTGACTGTGTATGTTGTGGGCAAACACAGCAGCCATTGTGTGCACAACAAAGTCCCACAAACAGCACTGAAGTAAATGCTCAGTTTTATATAATAATCCTTGCATTTGATACAGCGCCTCATCACGTCTTCAAGATGTCTCAAAGCACTTCACAGAATACACTGTAAAGTGAAATGACTGTATTTTGTGGGCAAAACACAGCAGCTGATTGCACACAGCATGAGTCCCACAAACAGTCGTGGATTAAGTGACCAAATTATTATTTTGAGTCATGCCCAGGATCTTAAACGTCCACCTGAAAAGGCAGACGGGACTTTGATTTAACGTTTCAGCTGAAAGATAAAGCAGCTCTCCCCCAGCCTTGCACTGCAGTGTCAACCTCCACCGTGTTCAGTCACAACAAGGGGCTTGAACCCACAACTTTCTGACTCGAGGCAAGAGTGTAACTGACTGAACCAGACTGACACACAGAGAGAGACGCTTATTCTCTGAATATTATGCAGCCCTCTTAAGAGCATTGATGCAGTCCTGTAGCTTTATTGGTTAGAGCACTCGCTTTGCAAACGAGAGGACCTGGGTTCGATTCCTGAGCAGGGCGAAACATTGGTCAGGTTTATCTTACCCCACACGCCTCTGGTTAAGAACATAAGAACATAAGAATTAGGAGCAGGAGTAGGCCATTCGGCCCTTCGTGCCTGCTCCGCCATTCAATAAGATCATGGCTGATCTTCTCACCTAACTCTGATTACCTGCCCTATCCCCATATCCCCTAATCCCTCTATTTTTCAAGAATCTATCAGTCTCAGCCTTGAAGATGTTCAAGGACTGACATCTACAACCTTCTGGGGGAGTGAATTCCATAAGTTCACTACCCTCTGAGTGAAGAAATGTTTCCTCAACTCTGTTCTAAGAGACTGACCCTTAATTTTAAGACTGTGACCCCTGGTTATAGATTCTCCCACCAGGGGAAACAGACCCTCAGTGTCTACTTTATCAGCCCTTTAAGAATCTTATATGTTTCAATAAGATCCCCCCTAATTCTTCTGTACTCTGGAGAATACAGCCCTAGTTTATTCAGCCTATCCTCATAGGTCAGTCCCCTCATCCCAGGAACTAACCGAGTGAATCTACGCTGCACCCCCTCGAGGGCAAGTATGTCCTTTTTTAAATAAGGAGACCAAAACTGCACACAATACTCTCGGTGCGGTCTCACCAAAGCCCTATACAGTTGCAGCAAGACTTCCCTACTCCTGTACTCTAAACCTTTCGCAATGAACGCTAATATGCCGTTCGCCTTCTTAGTTGCTGCTGCACCTGCAAACTAACTTTTTGGGACTGGTGTACAAGGACACGCAAATCCCTTTGAATACTAACACTATCTAACTTCTCCCCTTCCAGAAAATAATCTGTTCTTTTATTCTTGCTACCGAGGTGAATAATGTCACACTTGCTAACATTGAATTCCATCTGCCACCTACTTGCCCACTCCCCGAGCCTATCTATATCTTGTTGCAATCTTTTTGCATCATCCTGAGAGCTCACTCTGCTACCGAGTTTAGTATCATCCGCGAATTTAGACACATTACATTCAATGTCCTCGTCCAGATCATTGATGTAAATGGTAAATAGCTGAGGCCCAAGCACTGATCCTTGTGGCACTCCACTAGTTACATCTCCTGCCAATTCGAGAATGATCCGTTTATCACTACTCTCTGCTTTCTACCCGATAGCCACTCTTCTATCCATGTTAATATTTTAATTTAATATTCTATCCATGTTAATATTTTCCCATTAATCCCGTGGGCCTTGATCTTGAGTAACAGCCTTTTGTGTGGCACCTTGTCAAATGCCTTCCTAAAATCCAAATATACCACATCTACTGGTTCCCCCTTATCCAACCTGCTGGATACATCCTCAAAAAATTCTAAAAGGTTAGTCAAGCATGACTTCCCTTTTGTAAAGCCATGTTGACTCTGCCTAATCTTTTTATGGTCTTCCAGGTATCCCATAACTACGTCTTTTATTAAGGACTCAAGAATTTTCCCTACAACTGACGTCAAACTAACTGGTCTATAGTTTTCCCTATTTTCTCTCCCACCCTTCTTAAATAGTGGAGTTACGTTTGCAATCTTCCAATCAATGGGAACTTTTCCAGTATCCACAGACTTTTGGAAGATTATAGACATGCCATCCACTATCTCAGTAGCCACCTCCTTTAAAACTCTCGGATGCAGGCCATCCGGTCCAGGGGATTTATCGGTTTTAAGACCCGACAATTTACCTAGAACCATCTCTTTACTAATGTTAATCTCCCTAAGTTGCTCGCTAACATTGTCTTCTTGGTCCTCTATTTTTGGTATGTTTCCAGTGTCTTCTACGGTGAAGACTGTAGAAAAATACTTGTTTAATGACTCTGCCATGTCTTTGTCCCCTATTATAATTCCTCCGGTCTCATCCTGTAATGGACCCACATTCACCCTCGCTCGCCTTTTCCTCTTTATATATTTGTAAAAACGCTTGGAGTCTGTTTTTATGTTCTTTGCTAGTTTGCCCCTTGAAGTTACGTATCTCACCCATACTGACTTTACATCTTGCTTTTCAGATTTAAAATCTTTCCTCTCTACTGTTTGTATCCCATCCTTTATTAGCAGGGCCACTCCCCCTCCTCGTTTACCACATCGCCTATCTTTCCTATATACCACGTAGCCGGGAATATTCAGTTCCCATCCCTGATCACCCTGTAACCATGTCTCGGTGATGGCTACTAGATCATACCGGTTTGTCTCTATTTGTGCAACTAATTCATCTATCTTGTTACGAATGCTTCGTGCATTCAGATATCGTGCCCTTAATTCTGACTTCCGGCTATTAACCCTATTCACCAGCACTCTATCACTGTACTTCCTTTCCCGGCTTGACACACTTTGCTCTTCTCCCTTGTTAATCTGCTCTCTTGCTTTTGTTAATCTCAAGTTTAACTGTGGTGGACTATACTTTACTATGTTTTTACCTCCCCCCCCCCCCTTAGTAGTTTAAAGCCCTTTCTACCTCCCTATTTATTCGCGTAGCCTGGACATTTGTCCCAGCCCTATTTAGGTGGAGCCCATTCCTTTGGAAAAGCTCCCATCTTCCCCAATACTCGTGCCAGTGGCCCATGAATTGGAATTCCTGCTCTCCACACCACTCTTTTAGCCCGGCATTCAGATCCATGATCTTCTTTTGCCTGTACCAATTAGTTCCTGGCTCAGGTAACAGTCCCGATATCATCACTTTAGAAGTTCTATTCCTTAGTTTAATTCCCAATTCACGGAACTCACTCCTTAACTCGTCCCTACTGGTCCTACCAATGTCATTGGTCCCTATATGTACCATTACAATTGGATCCTCTCCCTCATGCCTCAAATTTATCTCCAGCCCGGCGGTGACAATAGAGTCTTCTTGTCTCCCTGCTATGGCTACAGAAAACTGTATCAGTCCTCCCGCCTGTCTCATCCCCAATAAGAATTACATTTTTAACCTCCTGCACAGGGGTGTTGGGGTCAGTTTGCCCGTCTTCCTCGCAGATTTCCTTGTCCACACAGGTTGCCAATATTTCATACCTGTCAGACAAGGCTAAAGTCTGGGATTCTTCAGCCCCTCTCTTTCGGGAACGCTTGCCTGCCCGCCTGACTGTCACCCAGTCATGTCCGTCGCTGCTACATTCTTCTTCCTTGGGACTCAGGGGAGTGTCCGGCTCCAGGATAAAGCTGTCCAGGAAGTTTTCTCCATCCCTAATGCTACGCAGCGTCTCCACCTGAGACTCCAGCTCAGCTACTCTCAGCTGGAGCTCTCTGATTTCCAGACACTTGCGGCCGACAAAGTCGCCCAGACTTAAGGCGCCCTCCATTGACTCCCACATGTGACAGATCTCGCAGTTTACCTACCACACCATCTTCACAAACTTTATATAGATACAAAGATATATAGCCTACCCCCACTTCCCCCTCTGCACCTAATTCCCACTCTCACCAAATTCCCTCACACTCTGGCCTCGCCTCACTCCGGATGTAGCTCACTCTGGGCTCTCGGCTCGAGTGAGGCTAAAGCAGCTATCTCCTATTTTTACTTTCTGGGTGCAACCCGTTTCTGATTTGCTCAGCAGTGATTTGGAATTAATGCCTAATCAAGTGATTAATCAATAAGTTAATTTAATCAATAAGTTATTTGTTATTGGCTCGGCTTAATTGGCTACAGCTGCTCCCTGTAAAGTTACCCCACAAGACCAATGTACCAATGGTATCAGCAATTTTAAATAACACAAGACTTAAAACAACTACTACAAGACTTGCCTCGCAGTAAGGAGTTAGTCGATCGGTGGATCGTTTTTCCCCTTTCTGAAACATTTTTTAAAAAAATAATTTGGTCACTCAATCCACGGACTGTTTGTGGGACACTCAGTGCTGTGAGCAATTGGCTGTCGCATTTAATAATAATAATAATCCTTGCATTTGATATAGCGCTTTTCACGTCGGGAGGACGTCCCAAAGCGCTTCACAGAACACACTGTAAAGTGAATTGACTGTATATTTGTGGGCGAACGCGGCAGCCAATTGCGCACAGCAATGTCCCACAAACAGTCGTAGATTGAAAATGACCAATTTATTGTTTTTGGTTTTGGAGGGATTATTATTTGCCCACAAATACAGTCAATTCACTTTACAGTGCATTCTGTGAAGCGCTTTGAGATGTCTCGAAGATGCGATAACGCTATAGCAAATGCCAGGATTATTACATCGACACACTCTGCATTGAAGAATCAATGTGTGTAATCCCAGGTAAAGGAGATGATTGTTGCACACTTATAAAACACATGGACTTCAGTAATAATTCTGTTTGTTTAATGAAATGTTTGTTCTGGGTTGTTCTTTTGCAGCAAAGACAAACAGAAGTATTCGAGCGCTGCAAAGACTGTGTCTCGCAGATCCCAAATTCAGCCGAACAAATGAGAAGTCTCACGCTGAACCCTGTCCTGGCCTCGGGAACCACTGTGCGTGTAAACTTTTTCTCCCTCCGATGAATGTTCTTCACCAAATTACAAAGAAAGATACAAGATGAGTGGTTATAAAGCCTAGGAATTAATTGGAAAGAAAAACTACTTTAGTCACAGACAGCAAAGAAACACAGAATCTGTATAAGGGTGACCAAAAAGTCTTATTTTTCAGCTACCCCATTATCTAAACAAAAATCATTTCTTTAAGACTTATTAGATATTGTAATGGTATCCCAACTTTTGGTCACCCTGTACTAGAGAGCTCCCTCCCCAGTGGGTATCTGGAATCTGTGGTGGTTGTGTGTGTGTGTGAACTTCAACTTCATTAAAGAAGCCCACACACTGACCACTGTTACACCCAGGTTTCTACCAATCCAGGCTAAATGCTTATTAACTTGGACGGAAATTGTCCACTGTTGATTGACAAACAGCCTCAGTGGCTGAAACTCAATTGGACCTGAGCAGATCTCTTGGGCCCAAGGAGAAAATTGCTGAGTTAGCAAAACATAATTCTTGGGTTTGAATTGGGAAGGAAAGCAAATTATCTGATTTCCTGCTCAGGGTGGGTAATGGAGGTTTGTGCCCTTAAAGTGTCGAATAGAAACCCTCCTGGACTCAGTCACGCAGAGGCTAAGTGGCTATTGTAACTGCAGCAAGTTATAACCGACACTTGGTACAATTTGATTATTTTGGCCACGTTTAAGATCCCGCACCGAAGCTTGATTGATGGCTTCGAGTGGAGGTGTGAGTTTGTTCACCTCAGCCAATGGTGGCAAAGTTCACAGTGACGATGCCTCACTCTTAGGAAAGTGACCGAAACACCAGGAACATGTGAAATGTGATCGTGATTATCTGTGACCTTTAACCCTGTAGCCTCAGCCTTAATTGTCGTAAAAGCAACAAATAATGAAATTAAACAATCATTTTTGAAACGTTTTATATAAGGCTCATTTAGAGTTTGGGAAACCTCACAGAGGCAACACTGACCAGACCAGTGACTTTAGGAGTTGAGCCTACAATCTGCAGAAACTAGCGTTTAATTTCTTCTGAAAAATCAGCACTTATATTGTTTAAAAAAAATTATTGAGTCATTTGTATGGAGGCAAAGTGCCCACTGCTCCAGTCCTGTGTGTGTGTGTTTTTNATTTAGTGTGTGTGTGGGTGTGTGTGCATGCATGTACTCACGCACACACACAAAAACACACAGACACGCACACTTGAGCAGAGCTAATTTACAGAATCTCAGGATGTAACACCTGGCAGCAGCACGCTAACTCTAGTTTTGGAATAAATAACACAATCAGTCAAGCTTTGCACTGTTTATGATTTTTGGTGGCGTTTTGCCAGTGAAGATGTTAAATGTAAGAAATGCCGGTAGGATGTTTTTAAATGTTTTTTTTGATCATCAAATTTGCATGTATTGAGTTCAAATAAAGTTATCGGTTTCGTCATGTTTACATGTTAGTATTTTCATGCAGTTTAGAACCACAGTAATTTACAGCAAAAGAGGTAATTTAGCTATTAGAATGATAATAATAATCTTTGCATTTGATATAGCGCCTTTTCACGTCTTCCAGATGTCTCAAAGCGCTTCACAGAATATATTCTAAAGTGTATTGACTGTGTGTTTTGTGGGCAAAACACAGCAGTTAATTGTGTACAGCAATATCCCACAAACAGCAGTGGATTGAGTGACGAAATGATTATTGTTATTAAGCGAGTATCACCCCCGGAAAAGCGATCCAACAATCAACTTACAACTGGGTTCCTTTTTACTGCTAAGTGGAGTAAGGGGTGTGGAGTAAGGAAACTTATCCAACGTTTCGCCCTGCCCGGGAATCGAACCCAGGTCCTCTCGCTTGCGAGGCCAGTGCTCTAACCACTATGTGCACAATTGGCTGCCGTGTTTCACCCACAAAATATGGTCCATTCACTTTACAGTATATTCTGTGAAGCGCATTGAGACGATAACTGGAGGAAAGCAATACTCTGATCACTTACCTTCCTCTCCCCAAGGAGGAGAGTGAACATTTTTTAACTGATGCGTGAGTCAGTAACTCGAGGGCATAGATTTAAGGTAATTACCAAAAGAATAGCGGGAGAGATGGGAGTTTCTTTTTAATATGCACATAGAATGAAATACAAGGATTATTATTACGTAACTAGACTCCACTATGGCTGGAGTACCTCACTGAAAAGAGCTCCTCACTGCTATGTCTTGCTCTCACCCTATTATATTTCTGCTGTTTCCTTAAAACCTAATGGGTTCTGCCTGACAGACCATTCTAGGTAGGGCTTCTACACTCTAACCACATTCTATGTGCATATAATATAATTACCTTAAATCTATGCCCTCGAGTTACTGACTCACGCATCAGTTAAAAAATGTTCACTCTCCTCCTTGGGGAGGGGAAGGTAAGTGATCAGAGTATTGCTTTCCTCCAGTTATATGAATGATCAGGATTTGGGCATAGGGGGCACAAAACCAGAGTATGGCTAACCGAAGAGGAATGTAAGCAACTTCAGAAAGATATAGATAGACCAGGAGATTGGGCAGAGAGAGATGGAATGCTGAAAAGGGGAAGTATTAATAATAATAATCCTTACATTTGATATAGTGCCTTATCATGTCTTCAAGATGTCTCAAACACTTCACATAATATAACTAGAGTGAATTCACTATGTTTTGTGGGTGAAATGCAGCAGCCAAGTGTGCACAGCAGTGCACAAACAGTCATGGATTAAATGTCCATATCATTATTTATTTTTTGGAGGGATAATTACCCTGGAGAATTGACTAACAACCAGGATCCCATTTACTGTTAGGTAAACAGAGGCGTGTGGAGTAACGAAACTTGCCCAACGTTTCACCCTGTCAGGAATCAAACCCAGGTCCTCTCACTTGCGAGGCGAGTACTCTAACCACTGAGCTACAGGCAGTTACTCTGGCTGGCTACAAGGAACCATGACTCAAGAATAGCAATCGGGGAGGGGGAAGAGTTGCAGCCACTTTACCTACAGAGAAGTCAATCTAAATCAATATCTAATTACATTGTTTGTCACTTGTACCATTTCAGAGATATTTGCCAGCGTTGATATTTTGTAAAGGTTATTTCAACGTAGAGGGGGAGAAGATGAGGTTAATTTCATATATCCTCACACATTAATAATAGACTTTATATATTTCAGTGTAATTATCATGCACTATCCTACGATAATCCCTGCATTTGAAATAGTACTTTCCCATCAGAAGGATGTCTCAAAGCACTTTACAGGATTTACTGTGGATTTTGTAGTTTTATACTATTCAGCTGTAGCTGTGATGTGAACCTACATCACATGAACATCACACTGCCTCTAAAGCTGCTTTGCTTTAATTCCAAGTGGATTTTTGTTAATTCAATAAAGAAATCCATGCATTCCATTACAACAGTCTATCTCTGGGATTGCCATTTGTAGGTGGGAGGCCTGGAATTCTCAGCTTGGTTTGGAGACTCATAAGCACAGTGATGGGTTTCCGCATGTGTCAGACACACGGCTGACCTCTGGCCACCCCTACCCCTCTGTCAAAAAGAACTTTTCCAAAACTACTGTGATCTCGCTGACTCGCTCCCATTCTTCAAAACCCTCTCAAACATTTCTCTTGCTCATGTCTCTGAACAACATCTTCAAATCTCTTACTTCCTCGCTGTGTATCACTACGTTTGTCAAGTCGTTCATTGAAAATAACATCTCTGTATTAATACAAGCTGCTGTTGCAAGTCCTTGCTCAGACCATATACAAGTACTTATATATACCCACACATACACAAATAACGTTGGATTAGCATTAGTTCATGGCTGTTTGTGGGCCATTCTGAGCACAGATTAGCTACAATGTTCAGCTCCAAAATATACACTCGTTCACTGTACAGCGAATTCGTTAAAGTACTTTGAGAAGTCCTGCCAACACAAAAGGTGCTATATCAAATGCAAGGATTTTTATTATTTATTATAAATCACAGTTGCCAAGCCAATTTAGCAAAGTAGAAATTAAATGTTTGATTTAAAGAATGAATTAAACCATTGGGGAATAGATTCATATTAATTTTTATCCTCGAGGTCTGAGAGACGAGTTTGAAATGTCTGAATTGTTAGTTTGTTCTGGTAAACCACCATTGTCATCAATTTGGTCAGTGATCCATTCTGAGCTTAGCGCTTTCATGAACTACATAGTGTCAACAAAGTCCTGTTACCCATTAAACCTCTGTGTAGAGAGACTGTGAACAGTGTTACCTACTCTCCTCCTGGTGGCCCTCCTACAGTGACATGAGGACTAAGGAGGAGCTGAAACCAGCTGTCAGACACGCATTTCTCCTCCTCACTACATCATGTTACAGAAGATGTGGCACCAAACATAGCGACAGATCATTATCTGTCGTGAAAATAATAATCCCTTCAAAACAAAAATACATATATTTTAAATAATAATAATTTGGTCACTTTGGCTGTTTGTGGGACGCTGCTGTGTGCAATTGGCTGCCGCGGTTCGCCCACCAAATATACAGTCAATTCACTTTACGGTATATCCTGTGAAGCGTTTTGAGACACCTCCATGACGTGATCAGGCGCTATATCAAATGCAAGGATTATTATTATTATGAAAATGCTGGCACTCACACACACCCATCCTCTGGACGGCTAAATACAGTTAAACACTGGTACTGAATACAATGCAGTAACTTCTAAATACAGTTATCATCATTCTTACACATGTTTCAGTGTTTGGTTGGTGCTCTGTAAGACAAACATGGGGGTATGTAAAACATGACTTTGTGAACACCCTGCAGTTCAACAACAAAAACTTACACTTAAATAACTTGCATGTATTTAGTTCATGAAAGAACCAACCTCGGAATGGGTCACTGACCTACTTTCGCAAATTTGTGACAACGGTGGGTTTGCGAGAACGAAAGGACACCGTGTGGTTTTCAGGTCAGGTGGTGAGGATAAAGCAGACTTGAATGTGAAAAGCAATGGAACTGAAATCAGCTTTAGTGCAGTAATTGGATATATTGGACCCACATAAACAGAATGTTTGGGTTTTATCCTGAGATTGCCAAAGCAAAGCTGTTTACTACAGATATGCTGCAAATGCATATTAACGTGTGCCAGGTCAACGTGGGGTCAGGAAAATAATATCCCAACTATCTGGTCGGCCAATTGCAAGAGTACACGGCGAGGGTATAAGAGCGACCACACAGCCAACAGCACAGCGACTGTGATTGCCGTGTGCTCATCAGGATCTTTAGGTTTGTGAGACGAACAAAGATGAAGAATGTTACGAATCTCCTCACGGCCTATCCTTGTTCTAACCCCGTCCTTCAAACAGTTTGGGATTACGTGCGATTCAACCACGAAGCTACCGTCAGGTCCCCTACATTCCCCGTGTTCCTGGCTTTCTCTAGCTATCTCACCTTCTGCACCCCCTTCACGCTCATAGATCTAATGGGCGAGAGGTTGCCATTCTTGTACAAACACAAGATTCAGAAAGAAAAATACCCAAGCCTGCGGTTGATGGCACAGTGTATTTGGCAAGCGGTCTTCAACCACCTGGTCTACATCTTTCCAGCGGTCATCATCAATTGGTTTTGGAGACCACCAAGCCCTCTGCCAGACACGGCACCAACCTTTGCTGAGTTTCTGGTCGGCATCCTCAGCTGTTTGCTTGTGTTCGATTTCCAGTATTATTTCTGGCATAAGCTTCACCACAACAATCGCTGGTTGTACAAGACGTTCCACGCCATCCATCACAATCACGTCTCTCCTTTTTCTTGGTCAACCCAATACCTTGGAGGATGGGAGCTCCTGACAGTTGGATTCTGGAGTAACACCACACCTCTCTTGTTTAAGTGCCACCCTTTGACCACGTGGGGCTTCATGTTAATCAGTATCTGGATGTCAGTGGAGGATCACGTTGGCTACGATCTGCCCTGGGCCTTCAACAAGATCCTGCCTTTGGGTCTGTGTGGAGGAGCCTCAGCCCACGATATGCACCACCAGAAACCAAACACCAACTACGCCCCATTCTTCACTCACATGGACAGGCTGTTTGGAACCATAGCCACTGAAGATCACTGACTTAGAAAGTGGGAGATGTTGGATTATATCGTTCGGTATTAATGAGCTCTTTCTCGGTTTGTAGTTCATGATCCAAAGACAAACGCGGAACTCAAAGGAGCTGTTGGAACAACAGAACAGTACAGGAATGAACTGCGAGACCTCAGGAAACTTCTGGCTATGTTCTCAAAGTCCTTTCTCTCATTGCTAATCTTACTTTAATGGTCCTGAGGACCTTCCAGTTCCCTTAATAATATCATTTGCATTTGATACAGCAGCTTATCAGGTTTTCGAGACGCCTCAAAGCGTTTCACAGAGTATACTGCAAAGTGAATGGACTGTATTTTTGGTGGGTATTTAAAGAAATAATCAATGTATGAAGCAGTGGAAACTTATTTTAAACGTGTATTTAATACTTAATATTCTGTCGTTTAGGGACTACAAGAAAACAGTCGATGTCAATGAAGGAGATTTTCTTTTCCTTCTAAAACTGCGATCTAATTGGAAGTACATTTAAGTGTTTTAAATTATTCTAAAATCACCTTCATCCCTGGATAAGGCGATACCTGCATCATTTGTCGTGGAGATTTGTAACATAACGTAGACTATAAGTGGTTAGTGACAGACTTAACAAAATATTCTAAATCTCCTTTTGAGACTCAGAAAGCATCAAATGTTATCATAAACATTAAGAATTGCGCTGTGTGCATACTTAAACACTTAGAAAAGTGATTTTCTACTCCCAAAGCGACAAGCTAAACAAATCTAACAGCTGCTTTAGTCCAAGGGCTGAGTTATGTTACAAGTCGTTATTTTGAGACTTGGTGACGAGACCGAGGGAAACCCAGCAGTGAGTTTAAGTGGGGGCAATCGTCAGCACTTGTGCACACGGCTTAGCAAGGGCACAATATGAGGAGAGAAAAAGTATTCTGTATCCCAGGGGATTGAGGAACAATCACCTGATATTATTACAGGTCAGCATGGGACCCGAGTAATGCCAAATCCAATCTTTCCTAAAGCACTCACGGCACGTTAGATAGTAACGCCTGAGAGAGGAACTCTGATTAACCAGTTGTATACAATTCAAACTTACATTGTTAAAGGGCCTTTCATGTGTGTCAAGAGTACATAAATCCTACAGGTCTACTCCAACCAATAAGCAGTCAGTGGATACTGATTTTTTTACTGATCCGCCACTAGACTAACAACCAGGTAAACCCACTGCTGGGTAAACAGAGGCATGTGCAGTAAGGAAATTTGCCCAATGTTTTGTCCTGCCTGGGAATCTAACCCAGATCCTCTCGCTTGCGAGGCAAGTGCTCTAACCACTGAGCTACAGGACTCCACAAATAAAACAAAATCCTTGCATTTGTGCCTTTTCGTTGGGAAGATGCATCAAAGCACCAGACAGGATTGTAACTGTGACTGTGTGCCATGTAGTCGTTTGGTGACAGGCCAAACCGCAAAAAACACAATTCCTAGCAACCCGCCACAGCGGGAATTGGCAAAGATACGGAGCAGACAGCTCGTTCTCCAACCAGCAGAGCTGGGAATCCAGACTCATAACATCCAAGAGTTTATTCAAAGTATCCCACAAATGGCCATGAAGTGAGGGACCAATTTTATCTGAGGGATTGTTGGCCAGGACACCGGGAAATCCCTTTTGTTTTTGAATAGTGCTGTGGGATCTTTAACCTCCACCTGAACAGGCAGATAGGACCTCGGTTTAACATCTCATCGAAAAGACATTATGTCCAACAGTGGAGCACAGAAAATCATTTTGCCTAATCTCACTCCAAAGAGAGCTTACACTCTAACATGTCTTTAGTGTATTGGAGTGAGATTCATTCCAGCCGTCAATAAGCAGGAAATTCTGTAGAACCAACACAAAAATAAATCTCTAGAAATGTCAGTTTTAATCGGAATTTTTCAATGGAACAATTCTGCAGTACAGTAAGGCTGTGCAGCACTGCAGGTTCTATTTCTCTGCAAACTGAAATGTGCCAAATTATTATTATGTTCATTATTACATATAATGCTGTGTGTATTAGTGAGCTCAGTGAGCACTGCAGCGATAGTACAGTATAACAATGTCTGGATAGCACTTTACAGCTGCAGGAGCCACAGAGTACAACACCCATTGGCTTCTACCAAGAATCTGCCAAAGCAGAGGCAGGTGCAGGAGCACATATCCTCAACGGCAAACCCACCATTTTGAACATAGGCCAATGTGAAGCTCAGAGAGCGTTTCCTGTCCACCTGTAGCCAAATCCCATTTCTTTACCAATTATTATATTATATATATTTACATGTGAAGTGCCTTGAAACTCATGAAGACATTATAAGACTATATCAAATGCAAGGATTATTATTATTAATGTGCAGAACAGCAGCTGTGAGGGAGGATCATTGTTGAAGTGGTCATTGCCTTTTACGGAAGGGACTCGATGGACCAACTGTTAAACAGAATTAGTGGTGTGGTGGATCAGCACCTTATTCTCTCACTTCTGGTTGCTCTCCAGCCCTTCTCTTCACCAACTGTAAGAGACTAACTTTAACAACAACAACAAGATTCCATTTATAGAGCGCCTTTCACATCGGGTGGACGTCCCAAAGCGCTGTACAGTTGGGTCAGGACCCGAGCAGGGGGGAAATGGTCAGGGGGAGGGAGGGAGCGAGGAGGGGGTAGAGAGTCGAGAGGGGAGCTGAAGGCTCGGTCAAAGAGAAAGGTCCTGAGACCGGCCTTGAAGGAGGAAAGGGAGGAAGCGGCGAAGGCACTGGGGATGGAGTTCCAGAGCCTCGGGGCTGAGAGGCTGAAGGCCCGGCCACCAATGGTAGGGCGGTTGGGGCGGGGGATGTGGAGCAGACCGGAGCCAGAGGAACGGGGGGTACGGGCAGGTAGATAGGGGGATAGTAGGTCGGAGAGGTAGGAGGGAGCAAGGCCGTGAATGGCCTTGTAGGTGAGGATGAGGATCTTGAATTCGATCCTCTGGGGGATGGGGAGCCAGTGGAGGCGAGCGAGGGTGAGGGTGAGGGCGAGGGCGAGGGTGGGAGTGATGTGGGCGCGAGGCCTGGTGCGGGACAGTACACGAGCTGCAGAGTTCTGAATGACCTGCAGTGTGGAGGGAGGTGGCGGGAAGGCCGACGAGGAGAGAGTTCCCATAGTCCAGCCTTGAGGTGATAAAGGCGTGGACCAGAGTTTCAGCCGCGTGAGGGGTGAGGTAGTGCCGTAGACTGGCAATATTCCGGAGGTGATGGAAGGCGGTGCCAGTTGTGGCGCGGATATGAGGGAGAAAGGACAGCTCAGGGTCGAACAGAACACCGAGGTTCCTGATGGCTTTGAGAGGCTTAAATGAGAGGAAAGGTTTAAGAGTTGTTGGTCGGCAACAGTTCCTCAGTGGGGAGTTGTCACAAGGCTGGGTGGCTGGTATGTGAAGTCAGGAGTAATAATCATAATAATCCTTGCATGTGGAACAGCGCCTTATGTCAGAAGGACATTTCAAAGCTCTTCACAGGATTTACTGTGAATTGGAGATTGTATGTGGCAGTACAATTTGAGAGAGAAACTCCCTTCTCTTTTCGAATAGTGCCGTGGGATCATTAGACCTCAGTTTAATGTCTCATCTGAAAGACTGCACCTCTGACAACACCCCCAGCGCTGCATTGGAACGTCATCTTAGACTATGTGATACCAAGTCCCAACGTGGGATTTGAACCAACAACCTTTTCACTCAGAGGCAAAAGTGGTTCCTCTGGGCCAGGCTGACACACAATAGCAATACAGTAGGAAAGCTTCTAAGGTTGGAATTAAGGCACATTGTTGGGACAGAGAAAAGATCATTAATGAACAGGAACATGGTATTTGTTCAAAACTGAGACTGGGTGTAAAAAGGGCAAACATATTTCAATCCCAGCACTAACACTCAGCACCTGATGACCACATAGAATAGTCGTGGATTGAAATGACCAATTTTTTTTATATATATTTTTTTGAAAAGTGATCCACCAATCAACTCACAAACTGGTTCTTACTCACTCCTAAGTAAACAAAGGTGTGTGTGGAGTAAGGAAACTTGTTCAAGGTTTTGTCCCGCCAAGGAATCAAACACGGATCCTCTCACGTGTGACCTATAGCATCCTATCTACATCCGTTGTACCTGGAGGAACACATACAGTGTTTGTATCCCCTCAGCAAGTGGCAATGCTAACAAGAGTCCCGCCCAGAGTAAGCACAACATGCAAAGTCTTAATGTACAATACCTTGTTTAAGCCAGAGTCATCTATAATTCAGTCTGCACTTGACTGTATAGACTGAGTTAGACAGTGGTCTAGAAAACTGATGCTATGGGAAAAACTGGCTATGTCTGTGTCACAGATTGCCAGTTGTCTTTGCAGTGAAGTGCAAATAGTATTATGTTTAGTAATATATAGAATAAGTTTTTGAAATGGCAAAATCCCAAAATTTAGCACTAAAAGACCATTACAGGTGAAATCTAAGACCATTACAGGACATCATGAAGTCTGATATAGCGCCTGATCATGCCGTCAAAATGTCTCAAAGCGCTTCACAGGATATACTATAAAGTGAATTGACTGTATATTTTTGTGGGTGAAACGCGGTAGTCAATTGCACACAGCAGCGTCCTGCAAAAATGTGTAACGTAAAGACTTGTTCCGAGGCCAATTCCCAGAGTGTGGTGCATCATCAACAGGTTAACAACAACAACAACAAGATTCCATTTATAGAGCGCCTTTCACGTTGGGAGGACGTCCGAAGGCGCTGCACAGTTGGGTCAGGACCCGGGCAGGGGGGAAATGGTCAGGGGGAGGGGAGGGAAGGGAGCGAGGAGGGGGTAGAGAGTCGAGAGTGGAGCTGAAGGCTGAAGGTCAAAGAGAAAGGTTTTGAGACCGGCCTTGAAGGAGGAAAGGGAGGAAGCGGCGAAGGCACTGGGGGATGGAGTTCCAGAGCCTCGGGGCTGAGAGGCTGAAGGCCCGGCCACCGATGGTAGGGCGGTTGGGGGGGGGATGTGGAGCAGACCGGAGCCAGAGGAACGGAGGGTACGGGCAGGTAGGTAGGGGGATAGTAGGTCGGAGAGGTAGGAG